CAGAGCTGTGCGTGTGCAAAGCCCATGTGTGTGCAGAACTCAGAGCCCATGTGTGTGCAGAGTTGTGCATGTACAGAACTCAGAGCCCGTGTGTGTGCAGAGCCCAGGCTGCTCTGAAGCCCTGAGGCCCTGGGACTCTCAGGAGGCACTGTTTCCTCACAGCCTCTGTCCTGAGCGCCCTCTGCATGTACTGTGGGCCCACAGGTCCTCCAAGAGTGAGCAAGGCAGAGACAGGAGGAAGCACAGAGACAAAGACACCCCGATGCAGACATCACACTCCAGAGACACACGCATGCCAGGGACACAGCTCAGTCATGCACATGGCCCCTGTGTCCACCACTCGATGAATGGACAAAGAAAATGTATATTCACACACAGTGCAGGATGATGCCATAAAGAAGGACAAATCTGAATCATGTGTAGGGAAATGGATGCACCTTGAGACCGTAATGTTAAGTGAAATAAATCAGACACACAAGCTTAAATATTGCATGGGTTTGCTTATATGAGAAACCCAATGCACAAGTAATTAAAGAGCAAAATAAAAGCTAGATAATAGGAAACATAGAAATAGGTCTTTGCAAATGGGAAGGAGACCAAGAGAAAACAGGAAGGGAGAGGAGGGAAAGGGATGAGGAGTTAAGATACGTTACATACATGTACTAACTTCCCAAAATGAGTGTAGTTATTACATACTGCAAACATGCACTGATAAACATAAAAATCTGAAAGAAAGACAAAGGATAACAGAGCCGCATCCTGCAGTGGAGCCTTGCAGGCAGTGGTGGGAGCGGCTGGTCCCCATGGCACAGTGACCACCACACAGAGGGGCTGAGGGGCAGGCGGGCCCCTTACCTGCCATGGGCTTCACCTGCACCAGATAGCCGAGGCCGCCGCCCTGCAGGTCTCGCCACTTCATCTGCAGCCGGTCCTCGGGCAGCACGGCCAGCCTCAGGCGGCCACCTCCTGCACAGCCAGGGTGAGGCACTCAGGACTGACCCATCCACCACCAGATTCCTCCTCCATCCTAGCCACCTGTGGGGGCCCACGGGACCTGCCCTGAGAGGCTGCAGGCACAGGCCTGCCCTGGGACTCTGAAGGAACAGCCCCAGCTTGGGTTGGAGGGGGCCATGCCCCCCAGGAAGAGCAAGGCCACACGCACTGGGAATTGGGCCTCTGGGTCCTCGGGGACAGTGAGGGGAGCCTCCTTCATCGCAGGGAGCCTCTTCCTCCGGGCAGTCAGCCTGAGGCAGGAGGCGCTGCGACACAGTGTTTCCCAGTCAGGATGCAGGAGAAGCAGCTGTGCCGCTGCCAAGGCCACACTAGGCTGATGTCCCCGGGGCACGCAAGGGAAGAGGCCTGACAGGAAGCACGTGTGTGAGTGTGCAGTTGTATGTGCATCTGTGTGTGTGCACTTTTGTGTGCAGCTATGCCAGTGCATGTGCAGCCTCAGCCCTTGTACTGGGGTGGGGGTTCCTGCAGGAGAGGCCAGGCGGTGCCCTTGGCCAGCTGGGAGGAGCAGGGCAAAGTGGGGCCTAGTCCGACCTCTTGGGAGGCTTCCGGGCTCTGTAACAGGGGTGGCTATTTTTAGAAAGCGGGGACAGAGATGGGTCTCTTCTGGCCACCCCACTGTGGGCTGGGGCACAGAGGGAGAGAGCAGAGAATAGGGGTGCTCCTGACAGACACAATGAGCCATTCAGAGCCGGATGCAGCTGAGCAGGCTCCAGAAGGGGCCCCACTGCGTTGCTCTGGGAGCGACCCACTGAAAGGCAGGAACGTGTTGCGGACGAGGTGGGGCTCTGAAGAGCCAGATGTGGGCAAGGGCCCCACTCCTGCCCAAGAAGAGCCTTCTGTTTCTCTACTCTGCTTCCGACATGTTGGGGGCCTCTGATCACCACGGGCTGGGGCTTTGGGAAGGCCCGTGGTAAGGCCTGCTCCCCTCCCCCAACTGCAGCCCCACCTCACCTCACGAGGCCCATGGGCCCACCCTAGCCCTTCTTGGGGCACAGACCCAGTGGGCAGCCCAGCTCGGCGGTCCTTGGCATGCTGCACCCTGACTGGGAGGGGGATACATTTGCCTCTGGCTGTTGTAGAATCACTCTGTGACTCAGCTCAAACTGCCAATGGTGGCTTCCTTCTCTCTGAAATCTCAGCCTGCCACCCCATTTCAGGTTATCCTGAGGCGAGGGACCTGCCTAGGTCATAGGCAGATGGGGACAGGCTGCAGACGGGGCAGCCTGCCAGACCAGGCCAGACCTGGGCTCAAGGTTGCCCCCAGGGCTCGAGGGCTGCGTGGTGGGAAGAGGCATTTATAACCCAGACAGCGCCGGCCCCTGGCAGTGACCCAGAGGCGCACATCCAGACAGGGAAGAGGTGCCCCCAAGAACAAAACCCTGCTCTGAGAAGTCCAGATGTGCTGGAGAGGGCTCCATCTGCCTAGCCCAGGAAGCCAAGGGATGGCAAGCCTGTCTCCATGGGGCAGAAAGTCCCTCCTGGGGTCCACTGAGCGATGCTCCTCACCAGGGCAAGTCTCAGCACCGACCTTCCCCGGGCTCCCAGGGGGAGCAGCGCCCGGCGGAGCCGCCCCCACCCCACCCTGTGAACACAGGCAGCAGCAGCAAACTGGAGCTGCACTTTCCTCTGCGGACAGGGAGAGCAGGAGGGGTCTCTGCTCCAGGTGGGAGAGGTGTCTGCGGAATAACTAAGCAAAACAGAAGGAAAAGCTGCAAGGCCAACGGTCAAACCGAAAGCTGTGCGTGAGGACTGCTGAGAAACCAGCCACTGTCCCTCCGCCCCGCCTGTCCTGTCTGGCGCTTGTCAGAAGGCTCTGAATTGGGGAGGTATTCAGTCCTCCATGACCTGGGCTACAAGGGAAGGACAAGCCCGGCAGAGGGCTCACCCTGTGCGGGAGGAGGCACCACCCCAGGACCTTCTCTTACCTTGTCCCTGCCCACGTGTGGAGATGGCACCCAGCCACAGCCAGAGGCAGAAGTGGAGGGCGGGGTGGCCTTGGGGGTTCATGGCATGCAGCCTGTGGGAGGAGAGGCCATCGCAGCTGTCACCCAAACGCCCGCCCTCGAAGCCCGAGGCCCCGCCTGAGGGCCTGCAGGCCTGGCAGCAGGACGTTGGGGCCCCACTGCCCCTCTCCGGCAGGTGCACACAGCCAGGTCATGCGGTGAGCCGAGGTCTTGAGACCCAGGCCAGGCACAGACGGGGGCTGGAACACACCAGCTCCTCTCCACCCCTGCTGTATGTGCACACCAGGCCCCACGCCCTCCGGTGCTGAGCAGACGCTAAAGTGCAGCCGTGGCCCCAGTGGAGCTCAAGTCTGGGGCGAACAGTACCCTGGGTCCCTGTCCAGCATCCTGAATGACTCGGAGGAACCTCCCTAAATGTATGCCCAAGGGAGCCCCACCAGGGCACCAGCCCTTGCCCAAGGGGGAGCCCACCAGTAGGAAGGCTGCCAGAAATCCAAGTCAAGGCCCCTGGTGCTGGCCCAGCGATGAGCTGCCAAGGCCAGGAGACCCAGGCAGGGGAGGACACTATGGCTCATCTACCTGATCCGACCAGATACCAGGTGAGGCCCCCCCGCACCCTCCTGATTCATACTCTGAAGCCAGACACCTCCCCACTGTGGGCTGCCCAGGCTGTAGCTGTGAACACGAGGCCCTCTCTGCTAGCCATCCACCCTGGCATTTCATGATGCGGGTGCTGGGCCCCCACAGCCTTCCACTGCACCCCAGCCCTGTAGCTCCTGCTACCCGCATAAGACTCAGCTCCTCAGTCTCTTGAAAAGGTCACAGTTGTGCAGACCCAAGGGGTTCCCCTGGGCCCCTCTTCTACCTGGCCAAGACTGTGGACAGCCAACTCCTGGTCCAAGGCAGCACCGCTCACTGCTCAGGGCCCTCTGGTCCACTCGGGCCTGGTGGGGCCCAGGACCCTGGGGCTTACGAGGCCCCTCCTTCCACGTCAGCACCCCGCCCAGGCCTGGCCCCTCCCCTCTGCTGTGCCCGGGACTCGGTGGGAAACAGTGGCCCCAGCAGGAAGGGCCCCGTCACTCTCCGTAGGGCAGAGCCTTACTCCTCACTCCCAGAGGGGAGCACACAGGGCTCCTGGGGGGACAAAGGCCCCGTACTTGGTCCTGGGCACCAAGACGCAGAGTGCTTGGCACCAGGGGTCTGAGTCTACTAGCACGAGCAGACTGGAGCAGCACCCCGTCTGGCCTCGCAGCCTCTACTCCCCTGCCATATGGCCCCAGGACCCCAAATCTGCTGTTCTCCAGGCTCTGGCCCCTCCACACTCCCCACTGGGAGAGCTGGGGGGCTGCTGTCCTAACCCAGCCAACGGAGTCTCCACCCCTCCGCAGGCCCCACCTAGGCCCGCCCTGGCTGCACACCACTGTACCTGACTCATCTCCACGCCAGCCCCCCTCCACCCAGTGCTGGCACTGCCTGACCCCAGTCTCACTGAGAGCCCAGCAGGGCTGGGGTGGTACAAGCACCCCTCCCCAACCTCCCTACTGGGCACTCAGGCCCTGGGCCATGTGTGGACAGGAGCTGCTGTGGTCCCGGACATCCCCTTCTATGAGCCAGGTCCCCTAGGGACCAGGGCACTGCGGCTGACTGCCCTTGCTGGAGACACCTGAAAGGTGCACTCAGCCCCTGGAGCCCAGGCCAAGGACGACTCAGAGAGCACAGCCTGGCCTTAGCCCTGCTCCTGGTGCCAGACAGGAGCTCCTGCCCCCAGCCTAGCCTTGTGCGCAAAGACCTAAGAGGCCAGGCCTCAGCCTGGACAGTCACTGGGGACGTGTGTACAGCCACGGCTCACAGGCACCTGGGCACGTGTGTACACGCACATCCGCGCTGGAGCTGGTGTCAGTGTCCTGGACACCATGGCCCTGCACGGCCACCCTGTGTCTTTCACCCTGGCCCTGCTGTGGAGTCACCTCAGTTAGTCCCTGCAGTAACCCTCAAACCACTTAGCAGACCCAGGTGTGGTGAGAGGCTGAGGTAGGAGGACTGCAAGTTCAAGTCTAGCCTCGGCCACCTAGTGACTTAGCAAGACCATCTCAAAAGAGACTGGGAGGGCCAGGGATCTAGCTCAGTGGCTCCACTGCCTGCCTACAAGCGGAAAGTTCCGAGTTTGATCCCCGATACAAAAGAAAAAAAAGTGTACTCAATAGGGGCTGGGAAAGCAGCTCAGCACAGCAGGTCTTGGGTTCAACCCTCAGTACCACACACACACACAATCAAAACCACTCAGGAGTGCTGGGATTCAGGCAAGGCAGTTGAGCTGTCCAGGCTTCCCTAGCTCAGCGATGGGAGGTGACTGTGAGCTCCAGGAGGGGCTGCCCATGTAGCCCCACCCACACGCTGAGGGCCCAGCCACACGTCCACGTTAGCAGGGTCAGGACAGAGTAGGGCTGCCCCACCCCCGGCAGCCACCTGAATCCCACCCAACATGCCCAGGAGCTCACTCCATTCTCCCACTGGGCCACACCTGTGGCACAGTTGATGATCGCCGGAAGGGGTTACAGCTCAGTAGCAATCACACAGGCCAGACAGTGTGATGAGGTCTACAGGGCAGATGCCAGGAATCCCAGTCTTAGACAAGGTCCTGCAGTGCAGGGCTGGCCTTGAAGAGGTCACAGGGCAGGCCAGTGCCTTGGGGAAGGAAGCTGGGCCAACTGCAAAGGCCAGTTTGGAGCTGGACACCTTGGGGGTCCAGTGGGTGGTCAGCCGGCTCCCACCCTCTTGGCCAGAGGGATTCAGGGACCACACCCCACCCAAGGCCTAGGACCCTGCATCTGTATCAACCCAACACGACCCAGAGGCTGGGGGACACCTGCCCAGATCGCCACAGGGTCTCTCCTGGCTAAGGTCACCCTCTGATGGCAGGACATGGCCAAGACGCCCTCAGCACCTTTCCTGGACTGCCCCAGGTGGGGTCTGAAGCATCTTTGGAGAGCAGCCCTCTCACCCATGCCCCTGGACACCCTCTTCTTCCTATGGTCAGAGGAGCCAGTGCTGCTCAGCCCTTTTGGGCTACACAGTCCTGCAAGATCCAGCTCTGAGTACATGCTGGGCCTCCCAAGGAGATGAGGGGACAATGGGTCCTTCCACGGGGCCATGTGCCAATTGGCTAGAGCACTGAGGCTGCCTCACCCCTGTGGCCGAGGAGTGCCTGCCACGCCCTTTGCTGGCCCGTTGCTTGCTCGCATCCATACAGGACAAGTTCCTCTCATCCTCCAGATGGCCTGTGTGCTCCCCTGTGCTTCACGGGGTGGTGTGTGGCTGCACCCCATGTATAGGACTAAGGACTCAGCAGTGCTCAGGTGCACCCTGTCCTGGCCCCAGTGTCTGCCCTTTCCTGAGGAGTCCTGGAAGGGGCCCATCCAATGGAGCAAGCCTCAAGCACAGTCCCTCACCGTGTGGGGCTCCCAGGCAGCCGGGCCATTCCCCACCGCCTGCTGCAGGGGCCTGAGGGCACCGGGGTGGAAGCAGAAGTGTCAGGCACCGTGCACCACCCATGAAGGGCAGCTGCCCACACCCTCTCCAGCATCCAGCTAGCAAAGGGGCTGTGATCACACCAGCACAGGCTCCTCCTGTGCTCAGTCACCTGAGCCCGCCACGGTGCCTCCATGAGCTCATGTCCAATGGCTCTTTTCAGCCCAACCCTAACCTGGCCTTGCTGGACTGAGGTCCAGGAGTCGCCCTCCCGAGACCTGGCCGCCACGGAGTACATGCCCCTAAAGGGACAGAGACCCCCAGGAGGCTCCCAGGTCTGAGGCACGTCCCACTTGCAGGCAGCTGAGCCCCTGTGCAGCATGAGCGCAGGGCTGCAGCAGTGCCCTGAGCACTGAAGCGGAGGGAGAAGCAAGCTTGGCGTACACAAACCACACAGGCGCTTGAGGTGCATGCACTGCTGGTCAAACTGAGGGCACACAGGGCTGGGTGCGGGGGAGGGTGTGTGTGTGTGTGTCTCACTACACCCTCCGCTATGCCGTGGCAGCACTGACGTCGGATCCTGAGGGAGGGGCAGTCAGACCAAGGGTGCTGGCATCACAGGTCACTGGTTGCATCTGCAGCACGCCAGTGTCCAGTCCAGGGAGCCCATGCTGCGTGTGCTTCACATGGGCCAACAGGTTCAAAGACCAGGAGGGCTCTGTGTGGCCAGTGAGACCTGAGTGCCAGGCTTGGGAAGACCAGGTGGGTGTAGGGAGACGGGGCCACAGGTGCAGATCTGCCTGCGTCCCGAGGCTCGGGCTGGGAGCAGGCCTGGCCACCGCAGACCCGATGCACAACAAACTGCTACGCTGGGGGGGCAGGTCCAGGGAGGCCACCCCGAGTCTCCAGAGTGGCCCGGGAGAGGCAGACACACTGAGGCCGCCCTCAGCCCCGCTGCTCCGTCTTCATCTCTGACAGGGCAGAGTTCATGTGCTGAGACCAGCTCTGCATCAACAGGCCAGAGCCACGAAGCTGTGTGTGGCTACCCATGCAGGTTCATCAGAGAAATGGGGGCTGGACAGGGCCACCAGGAGGGCCAGGTCATGGCGGAGAGTTTCACAGCACAGGCCATGGAGACATGGGCTCAGGGGAGGGGTCCAACGGCAGTGCAAGCTCTGGTATTGCTTTCAGCATGTCCATCTCTAAGACTCCAGGCCTTTTCTTCAAAAAGAAAAAACAACTAGCCCGATTCTTTAAAGTTAAAAACACATTTCAACAAAAACAGACGTCCGGCATCGCTGAGAGCACTGCCCAAGGCTGAGGGCCCAGCCCTGTGCCAGGCCACCTCGAGGCAGCAGCAGACTCCTGCCCTCAGCAGAGTCCTGCCCTGAGATCTGATGAGTCCAGAAGGCTGCTGGGGACCCCGACCGGTGCCTGGCGCACCCCCACGAGGCCTGGGAGAGGGCCGCTCACACTCAAGCTCCATGCCGGCAGGTGGGGCCACCTCGAGTCCCACCTGGGTGTTGTCCTGGCGCTGCAGTCACTTCTCTTGCTTGGGTCACATGGGAGGAGGAACTAGGAGGGCAAAGTGCAAACTCAGTAGCCCCCACAGGGCCTACCAGCTCTGGTCGTCCCAGCCCTCGTCAACAGCCGCGGGGGGCGCGGCCTTCTTGGTGGCCTCCCAGCTCTCCCAGCCGTCGCTGTTGCTGTTCTTGTTGTTGGACGCGGAGCCTGAGCCCCACACGTCCCAGCTGTCTGAGCTCCTCCTCCCTGTCGAGGTGTCTGCGCAGGTCCAGCTGTCACTGCTCGGGGACTTGGCCTTGGGGGGTTCGGTGCTCCCAAAGGTCTCCCAGAAGCTCTGGTCTACGGTGTTGTTCTGGAAGATGTCCCTGCCACTGTTCTGGTAGCTCTGGCCCTCGATGAGCCTTTTCACAGAGAGAGGGACACACTCAGTAGATGTCACAAACCATGCACTCACGCTGGCACTGTCCCCAGGACGTCCAGCATGCCCAGCATGCCCAGGCTTCAGGGGCATGGGGAACCACTGCGCCGCGAGCCCAGCCCAGTCTTGGGAGCCCACACCCCAAAGCATGGCCACTGCCCCAGCATGCCTTGCTCCTGGACAGGTGCCAGGCCCTGGCAGGCACCTCCCAGCCACCCTCCTGGGGCCGCGGCTCCCCACCACGTGGGAACAGCTCCTCTTACTCCGCAGCAGGGGAAACCCAGCCTCGGTGAGGCTCTGCCGAGGGCTGAGGGCACCACAGGGCTTGCCAGTGAGGGCTCAGGCGGTCTCCTGCCACTAGGGCCCCTCTCTGTGGTCACCAAACAGCATGCGAGGGAAGGGAGTGTGGCCTTCTGCCCATAAGCAGGGGCCGTGGGGGCCCAGGGAGGGGAAGCAGAGCCCAGTGTGCACGACCCCCATGCCAAGGCAAAGGTGGGATGCTGGGCTGGGCGCACAAGTAGGTACACGATGGCCTCAGCCCAGGGAGGGGCTGGAAGAGGGCCAGAGGACGGGCCCGGCCCCGGGGTGGGACACACACCTGCTTGGGGGCTCGTCTGTCTTCCCGGAGAAGAAGGTGGTGACATCCCGCCACCCCTTGCTGCCGACCCCCTGGACCTGGAAGGAGACGAGAAGGAATGCTAGGCAGGCCCTGCTCCAAGGCACAGGAGCTCCCGAGTGGGCCCCTGCTCTGACGCAACACAAATGCACAGTCCTGCTGAGACCTGCGGGAATTAGGAGTGTGACACAGACACACAGAGCGACACTGCAGCAGGGCTCAGCAGTGAGGTGCCTGCTACTTGGTTTTCCAGAAATGGCTGCCACTCTTTGCTCAGGGCTCACCCTGAACAGCTATCTGCTGCCACAGTGGGGACAGCGTTGCCGGAGAACACGAGGCGGATTCGTGGTCTCAGGCCCGTCAGGGGACTCAGCTGGCCGGCACAGCCTTGTCAGCCCTTCCCAGGACACCGCGCCCAGCCGACAGGCTCCACCCAGAGACCAGCACAGCACTTACCTCGAGGAGCCCCAAAGGCAGCGAGCAGTCGAGACAGGAAGGAGCGACAGGTTAGTGGCTGACAAGTCCCTGCGGCCGAGCTGTTTCCATATTCCCAAGCCCTCAGACCACTGGAACAGTGGCCACCGTCACGGCTGGCCAAGGCCCGCCTGAGACACACGCCCCGGGCACCCTCCGCAGCTGGTACCCAGCACAGGGCTGGGGCATGGAGACTGCTCTGGCTGCACCTGCACGGCAGGCAGGGCCTGCCCTACCTTGGATGCCTACTGAGAGGCCCTGCTGGACACAGCCTCAAAAACCCCTCCCTTGGCCAGGGATTTAGCTCAATGGTTCCGCTGCCTGCTGCACAAGCGCAAGGACCCGAGTTCGATCCCCAGTACAAAAAAAAAAAAAAAAATCCCTCCCTCCCTCACCTGTGCAGACTGAAAGGGCACAGTTAGGGATTAAAGCTTCAGAGGAGAACAGACCTCAAAAGTGAAATCCGCTAAAACAACTGCTGAGGAGGCACCTGTCACATTAAGTCCCCAAGAAGACCTACAGTGAGCCAGGCCTCATAGCACACGCCTGTAACCCCAGCACTCTGGGAGGCCAAGGCAGGAAGCTCCTGAGTTTGAGTCCAGCCTGGGTAACTTAGCAACCTAGTGAGACCCTGTCTCAAAATGTAAAAACAGGGCCGGGGATTTAGCTCAGTGGTTCTGCCGCCTGCCTAACTAGTACAAGGTCTCGAGTTTGATCCCTGGTACCAAAAAAAAAAAGTAAAAACAAAAAGGGCTGGGGATGTAGCTCAGTGTGAAGGCCCTGGCTTCAATCCCCAGTACCACAAACAATAATAATGACCTGTGACCCCAGTGATGACTGGCACTGAGCGATTGCACTGCTCCTCAGGCCCTGTGCTTCCTCAGCAGCCTCCTGCCTGGAGCAGGGTCCCTGGCTGGCTCGGCTGCCTCCTTTGAGGGGCACCCCACACCACCTCTGCCTTGTTCACACCTTCTCTGAGGACAACGCTGGGTGTGCCGCAGAGAGAAGGGCGAGCTGGGAGACAGTGGGCAGGACCGTGTCAGGGACCACAGCAGCTGCCCCAGCCAGGGGAGCAGGGTGGAGCTGGGCCTCGAGGACGCAGGGCACAGAGCAGTACAAAGCCCCTGGCATGTGTCTGCTCCCCAGAGACCAGGGGCCTGGAGACACAGTGCCTCTCAGCCACTGGTGCTGCCCATACCTTCTCCTGCGCAGGCTTGAGGACATTCTCATTCAGGCTGTGGCCCAACTCTGAAGCCTGTTGGAAGGGATGCTGTGTGAGCCCCACTGCAGCAAGGTTCCCCACAGGGCAGCATAAGCGTTCCCATACATGGAAAGGGAGCAGGACATGGTGCACACAGGAAGTAGGCCACAGGAGGGCAACTGATGATAGCAGGAACGGGGAGGTCCTCACGAAGGAAGAGCCTGTGGCCTGAAGGCAGCTGCTCCACAGCCGGCCCTCCAGCTTGGCCTCAGCAGCCAGTGGGGGTTGGCTCAGACAGGCCCATGAGGGTCAACAGCAACCCCTACTGGCTGCAGGTGCCTCTCTCCCCTCCATGAAACAGGCACTGAGTCCCACCTGGATGGCAGGGGCACAAAGACCTAGGCAGAGGGCAGAGAGGACCCAGCCTCTTCTGGTGCACCACGGGGTGGGGAGACAGCCACAAGGCCTCCAGGTACCTGAGGTGCAGTGTGTTCTCAAGGAAAGGAAAAGCAGAGGGAAAGATTGTAAGGGACAAATTCTGCAATATAGGAAGGACAGTCCCTAGCAGGGTGAAATTCTCCCGGGTTGATCTGAGGTAACCAAACCATAAAATCAGAACCGTGCCAAGCACCCATTTCCTAGGGTTCCACCTGGCCCAGCCCATGCGCCACATTTGGCAGCCCCTGGCTCTGGTCTTGGGAGGAGCTGCAGGCAGACGGTGTGGACACAGCTCACACGGCAGGCACACAGGGCAGGCACAGTGAGTGAAGCACGTGCTCAGCAGAGGCGGGCAGCATGCACCAGCAGACTCGGGGCTTTACCGGCTCTGGCTGCTGCTTGTAACCCCAAAACTTGACCCAGGCGGCATGGAGATGGGTTAGCAAAGAGAGAGAGAGCAAGGTGGGAGGAGCAGGTTTAGCAACACCCAGGAAACACCTGGACGCCCCTTGGCTGAACTCTTGCTGATGGTGTCGCAGATGAGCGTCACCAGACCTCCAGCCAGCCTGCTCCAAACTTACCCCGTTCCAGGACTGGTGAGTGTGACCTGGGCCTGACAGGGCCTCTGAGACAAACCAGGGAAGGGTCCCTAGGGTGGCTAGGGGTGTGCAGAGTGAGAAGAGCCCTCAGAGCAGGAGAGCCCAGTGGGCAGTGAGTGCTGCATTGCAGGGCAAAGGGGCAGCCTGAGAGCTGCTCTTCCTTGTTGGGGCACGAGGGCAGACCCTAAAGACCTGCTACGGCATGGTAGAGCACAACCCTGACCAGAGTCCTGTGACCTCACAGCAATGCTGGGGGAACACCAGGTTTTGAGGGAAAAAGCATGAAGACTGCATCCAAAAGAATGAGCCACCTGGGGGAAGGCGCGGTCCACCCCCTGCGACCGCAGCCTGAGGCCAGGTGGCTGTGGACCAGACGGTCCAGCTCTGGCTCAAGCCTGGCCAGTCGCACGGTGGCCTCAGCCTGCACTGGCTGGCAGGGAGCAGGGAGGCCCTACCCGGGGGAAGCCTCTTGCCAGGTGCAACGGTGGCCAGGCTGTCACGTGAACAGAGGTGCCAATGCCCTCCGCACTGGGACCCACAGGTCCCCAACAAATGGCCTGGGAGGTTTCAAACACTGCATGTGACAGCACAGACTCACAAGGGTTAAAAAACATCAGGCAAAAGCTTCTCTTCTGTAACCCAGCATTCGGGGAGGCAGAGGCAGCAGGGCCACAAGGGAAAGCTCGGCCTGGGCAACTTAAGATTCTGCCTTCAATCTAAAAAAACTTCACACTGGGGATATAGCTCAGTGTGCAGGCCCCGTGTTCAACCCCTGGTACCAGGGTGGGGACAAAGCTTCCCTTTTTTACCTTCTGACTTGCTTGGGATCCAAATTTTGTAGCCTAAAAGGAAAAACAAAGAGCATTTTAGTCAATAGTCTTAATGCTCACCACTAGGCTCCATTTCCGCAGAGCTAGGACGCTCTCCTGATGGCCACCCACACTGACAGTGCTACCCTGATGACACTCCAAGGTGCCCAGACAGCTGCGGCAAGGCCTGGTTTAGCATAAATAGCCGCTCAGGCACTGCTGGGGCTTGGGCACACCTGGGCCGCCCCAGTGCTGTCTTCAATGGCCCTTCCCCCCATCCTAGCCCCACTCTGCCCCAGTGTGGGTGGCAGTTCAGTGCCTAGCACCTACAGGCACATGGCTGCCCAGCACACCACTAGCTAACACTCGCAAGGAGAGGACAAAGTCCTGGTGACAGGTACCCAGGGGCATCCCAGTGCCTCAGCCCTTGTACAGAGAAGAAAACAGCAGCTCCAGCAGGTCACCACTGCAGTATGTGGCAAAGAATTAAGAGCCAATCCAGGGCTGGGGATCTAGCTCAGTGGTTCTGCCGCCTGCCTTGCAAGTGCAAGGGCCCGAGTTCAATCCCTGGTACCAAA